GAAGGAAAAATACAGTACCTAGAGCAGAGCCGAATAATGCCAAGAGATTGACCAATCACAGCTTCGTACGAGTTCATTATGGTTACTGTAATTGGGGCATTGTCAATTATTTAAACTGTATTCCTGCGTAAGACTGTATAATCTCTAGCCACGTGTAAATTTCAACAATGGTCTTGTAAACTGCTGGCTTTGGCAGACCTTACCTACTTATTTAGTCATATACTCATTGCTTATTGTAAACACTGAAGACAAGGGCGTTTTTTTATATAAAGAAATAAGATTTCTTGGGAACTACTTTGAAACAGGTTAATTGTTGTCGACCTCGAACCGCAGCAAAGGAAGGAAAAATTCCCGCTCCTTAATTCCAAGTTTAATTCAATCAGAGTACGCACAGATAGTGATTTCTGACCGTACTCAATCGAGAGTGTGTGACGCGGTGTTTTCAACCCGCTTTCATTAAATTGAAGCAAAAGGACCTCGATTCAATACAGCATGGGTCAGCGGCTTGTTAATATATTTTCAAAGTAGGCGTCCATTAAGTTTTCGCCACAGGCCTGAATAGGTACCAGATAGTGGCAAGGTGGACGATGATGGAAACCTTTTTAAATAGAGCATAAAAAATTTGATATGAATTTCTGGCAGCCCCGTAATATATACGTAGCAGCTGCAACTTATTGAGCAGAAACATATCATAGCCTACTGGAAGTATTATAACCACAACTTTAGACCTTAAGAGTCCATAATCTGCCTCAAATGCCTCAAATCCCTTAAGTAGCGGCCGCCAGTCGCGACCACAAGAACATGGTGTCAGAAATGTTTGCACAGGGTCCAAAAAATGCACCCCGTCCCTTGGCACTACCCAGCTTCTGTACACCGCCGGAACCTTAGGAGTATTTTGTCGGAAACCGAAAGAATAGGCCGCGTGCAAATTAACTTGGCCTCTGCTGGAAGTCCAACAAACGTCTGCGAAAGCCGCGGCTGTTGGCATATCCCATGAACACGTGCTGTTTCCTACCAGGAACTTAACTGTACGATTTTACACTATGTGGCCGACTGCAAATGTTTCAAAAAGAAAAATGAAGTTCTTCACATTGTGCTGTTGGTTCCTGAAAGCAGCACCATTCAAACTCAAAAAGTCGAATAGTTACATAAGACACAAAATAGAAATACGTTTTGATTAGATTAATGCAGATTAAACTTACGACATTTTCCACGAGAACACGCTGACAAACTATCGGCATCAAAAGGCCCCCTAGCGGCGTTTCATTCTGCGAAGAGCGTCACTGAGTCCTTGCGAAATCGTCGGTTGGCCACGCAAAAATGAACGGATTTATGGCGTTGTTGGGAAGAAGTTAACTAATGTTTTCAGCATGAGGGACCTTTCAGCACGAATTTGAAGAGATATGACAACGGCCCAGTAAGGCAGCCAGGAGAGTATGAAAATCAGGCCGGTGACGAAGAGCATTGTGGTAGTCTTCCGCTGGAGAGGCGGGGCGTTGACCTGACCGTGTCTATTGTCGGGTGTGCGAGTAGGCTTCGCTAACGCACCAGTCATCACATCTGCAATTTCAGGTCGGGTGGAATAGTCGGATGAGTATTCGCGTCGGTCAGCGTGCAATTGCAGTTGGTTTCCTGCGAGTGTACAAGTCTGGAAGTGGCTTTGATAGTTTCAGAACGCTCTTTGCTTCAATCCTGCCCAGTGATTATTCGCTCGAAGCTGGGAGAGTAGAACTGCTTTGCTTTGAGGCAACCGTTGTAATCATAGGAATAATAGATGAAGTTTTGAGCACTGCAGACCTTCAGAATGCCAGTTTTAATCGATCCCCATAGATCTCAAGTGGCAGTTTATGGTGAGGAAGAAATTTTTACCGTTACACACCGATACCACAGCTAACACGGTAGCCAAAATAGTTATACGGAGCGTCTGATCTACCACCGCAAGCGAAGCAATGCTCACGCCGCTGGAGACTTCAACAAACATACAAAGGGATGTGCCCAACTATGGAGGTACGGGGGGAAGCGAGGGTCGCCGTCTTGGCCCGTCCGCCAGTCATAACGCGCCGGGTAGTGCGGCACACGCTGCCGTAGCAATCGAACACAATCACTCCCCTCAACAGGACGGGCGTGCCGATACAGGCACGTCTGGACGAAGCAGTCGAAGCGCTGCAAGTATGTGTCTGGTATGTCCATCCCGGAAATATACATGGAGTAGCGCACCGCGTACCAGACACGCAACAAGCAAATGATCATGTCCACCAAGGCCCGCCCCGTGATGGGAATGTTGGCACTGGATTTGTGCGACTTGTTCCGGTACACATAGACGATGAAGGAGTTACCAGGCACTCACAGGATTAAAATGGTAGAAAAACATACCAGGAGGGCTGCTGCTAACCTGGCAACAAGGTGATATCCCTCCTTAGGCAGAGCCGTCCCATCCGTCCTGTTGCCCTCGGCAGTTTCGACGACCCTCACATTTCCTGTATCAGCCCTTCAGAGTCTTGAGATACACAAATAATGAATAGCATTTCTTTCCAATCAGATGGAGATCAGAGGTCTCACTCTATAAAAACGTACTGACATTCACCATTCTTCCATGAAGGTTTGAATAAGCAGTCTTATTAGTTACATAGCAGTGCAAAGAGCTTTGGTAAACGCATGCGGATCGCTGCTGCAGCTTTCAACTCCCCGCCGACTCATCTGCATCCGGAGCATGTCCGAGGGAAAGAAACCCGGTCGTCTGTTGCCTTCTTGCAATTGCAGAGGCTTCATTTTCTGCCCTAGCATGAAAGATGATCATCAAACTATACCTTCGTGACCACCGAGTTTCCTGGCCAATTTCCTCATCAATAACATCTAACAATGTGCAGAGAGCATATCTGTTCTTAAGGTAAACGCGACCCACTGACCTGAATGATTCATCAAGACCTATTATCCATTTTACAGTCATTTGACTATTAAACGGCCCTGTGTGTGTTCCTTCGTGAGAGTTTTTTGGTCACTTCGCCACAAACATTGGCCAAATAACGTGTGTTTTTTACCGAAGCGGCTGTCGCCAAATTGCCACCAATAGCCATGTGACATCCTTAGCAAGAGCCACGATTTCATCCATGATTGTTTGCTTTTCACTGTAGGCACGACCATTCAAACGGCAGAATTCTCCCTAGAGACACCAATGATGCAATGACATCTTGGAAACAAGGCGTGCGTCTTGTCTGGGGAAAAGTACAGAAAAAGAAAGTACATTAACACAGACCCCAACCCTGCAGTTGTCTTGGTCTCACAAAGATCAGTCTTCCATTCGCCTTTGTACCTGCCATAAAATTAAACACATTCTTGTAGTACTTAAGGAAATAGCAGGCAAATTAGATATCATGTCCTAACAAATGTAATCTTAAGGAATGTGTTTTTTATGTCATTTTTTCCTCTGTTTTTTTAAATTCTTGTTTGAAGATGTATCAGTGGGTCAAAGTTCAAATCTCCAGGTCGTGGCAGACTGATCTAGATAACCACCACAGACTAAGAGATGTTAAGGGTGCAGAGAGATTGAGTTTTGGAGTCAGTTATCTCCACGATTTCTATTTTTTTGACTGCGCCATCACTCTAAATTCCTGTAGCGATGTAGTGTTCTTGTTTTATGGGTCAATTTATGCCCTACGATATTTTCTTCGCAAGCAGGCTGGCTTGTGAATTTACAGCAGCAAAAATGAAGTCCTGCTTGGTTTTATTATTACCTTAGCGATGAGGGTCTCCCTCACGTAACAACATCGACAGCAACCGTAAGTTAGAGCATTCGATTGTTTTCATACTTCAATTCAAAAAAGAAAGCGTAGTTTCTGTTCTTACATTTATGATGTGACTCACCAGGATATGTTTTGAATTAAAAAACTCAAACTGCAAACTGCTTGAAATCATTTCACTGCTTGAAGATTTAACTTTGCTAACACAATTAGAGAAGTCTGATCGCAGGAAAAGCGTCATTGGAGGTAGTTCCTTCAGTCAAGTAGCGAAATGACTTGTTTCAGCAGATAGCTGGATTCCAATTTATTGTTCAAATTCACAGATACTTGCAGACGGCCGGGCCTGATCTTTTTTTGACAGGCCAAATCTTTACAATATGTGACGCCACGGCGCCATGATCAAGTAGCACGGCTGAAGGCAGTATGCAGCAAGGCAGCGTACACGTTCGAAGTAACCGTCCGTGTCTCCAAAAGTGGGTGATCTACCTAATGGAATGAATTCTTCAACTAGCAGCTAATATGTCGACTATACGTGAGAAAAAAAAACGAGGAAAACTATTCAACTTATTGACTTCGTTCGCACAGACTGGCACAAGAGTGGAGTTGCGAAAAATGTGGTAATCCCGTGCCATTTCTGAAGAGACTCTTCAAATAGACGTGCACAAATATATAATGGTGGTCTATTAGAACAGTGTGAATATAAAGTTTATAGAAAATGCACATGTTCACTCGTTCAGTTTGATATAATTGCTTTTAAAATTGTAATTTGACGGTGTGGATGAATTTAATCTCTCTATTCCATGTAATAGTTAAAGTTAAAACAATTTTTTTATCTACCGAAATATAAGCTGGAGCCTGAAGTGTTGTAGGAATGATTGATTTTAATTTGAGGGAATCAATTACTGCCACAGGTGTTTATGGATATTATATTTCTCTTTGGATTTGAGCATTAAATTAGGAAGATAACCTGCATTCCTATGGTATAATTAACTATTCCATTCGCACGAAAATTAAAACACCTTTACTTAAACTAAAATTAGTCAGCGACAAGTCACATATCAACTGTTAACGGCAAGCTCTTAAAGTTAATGTATGAAGGTTTACCTTAAACGGCAGAGGTTCATGCCGTTAAAATTGCTTCCCTGTCCTCATTCCGAAAAAACTGTTTCCAGTCGTGTTTTTTTCAGTAATCGATTATTTTTGTCTGTATTTGTGTGAAAGAAGTAAATTTGTTTGTACAAGTAATACAATTATGGGTTTAGATTAACAGCCCTTGATCCTCTTGAGAACTAACTTGCAGTCTTTCCTAAACCGCCTGTTTGCCAGTCCGTAAATTAGTGGATTAACAGCATTGTTGATGTAAAGTGTAATGTAGAGTTTCTCCATTATTCTATAGTACACTGGATTAGCGTAGGAGGCAAATTGCCCGCTAACCATCACCCAGTAGGGCAACCACGTCAGTAGAAACACCACACTGGTGATGAAGAGCATTCTGGTTGTCTTACGCTGAAAGACAGCAGCATCAGCCTTTGGTACTGCGCGTCCAGCATCACCGAGGATTTGACTTAGAATGCCGTTCCCGATCACGATGAGAGAGTCTGTGTTCTTTGATGTACCGGTACGTGTGGTCATTCTTGCTGATGACGGTCGACCAAAATGTGGCTTCTTGCTTTCGTCAAGGGATGGCTCGTCAACACCAGCATCATGGCTCGAGGCTTCCTCTACCTGCGCCATGCCGGCATCAGCTTTTTGGCTCGAGCATGGTTTGCTGACAGATGCCGACACCGAAGAAACTGCATTCAAATGGGTCTTTGGATGGACGGTTGTGAACGCAGCAGTGGATAGCTTTGTCGAGCATTCGTCACCTACCCTCGAAGAGAAGCGATCCCCACTTTTGGCTCCAGCATCGACTTTGACGTGTTTCTTGATGGTTAGGTAAACCCTTCCATAACATATCGTGATCATCACCATGGCCGTGATGAAGCAAAATGCTTGGAAAGCTTGTTCTACAGTCGTCAATGTAAGGTTGTCGGTTCTAGGGATAAAAGCTGGAATGTTGATGAGGAGTGAAAATACCAGCACTGCCCCGGCTGTTATCTTGCCTCGTCTGTACGTGAAGAACCGGCGATGTGGTCGGCAAACGCAGTCGTAGCGGTCAGCTGCAATCACTGCAGTCATCATAATTGAAGTGGCAATGGCCAATTTGTTGAATGCCCAGATAAAAAGCAGGATATTAGAGAAATCATTACTCACGACAGCATTAGCCACGATTGCAGCGCCTAGATAAATACGAGTTACACCAAGCAGGCAGACACAGAGGTCTGCCCAGGCTAAACTCATGATGAAAACGTGTGTGCTGGTTTTCAGAGGTTTACTCCAGTAGACAAAGAGAACGAGGCAGTTACCGGGCACACCGAATAAGAAGACAATTATGTCCAAGACCAGTTCATGCATCATGTTTGAGCCAGTGTCGGACGAGACAAGATCTCCCTCTGCGCTTTCATAAGCGACATTAAAATTTAACATGGAAGTGTTTTCCATGAATGCCATTTCCTGCACAATCCTCAACTCAGATGTATGGTGGCGTTTCCTCGGGAGAGAAGAGACGATGGCTTTGACTGTGAAGAGCAACTCCCTCGGCAGTCGAAATACAAAAGGCAAGCATCTGCGTGTAAGGAAAGGGGAAAAGGTACCTGAAACACAGCTTTGCAGTGCCGACCGATTGACCAATCACAGCTTTGCACACACTCATAATGGCTATTGTCATCGAATCATTGCTTGCCACTAAAACTGCATGTCTGTGTGAAACTCGACCATCTCTTGCCACATGTAAATTCCAACAGTGATTTTGTAAACAGCAGGCTTTGGTAGAAATAACATACAAAGTTAGTAATACACTCATTGCAGATCTTAAGCACAAAAAGACAAGAGGCGGTTTAAATAAATAATACTTAACGTTTCTCGGGAGCTGCTTTGAATCAAGTGAATTGTTGCCGAACTTGAGCCACAGCAAAGGTAAAAAATGCCGTTCCTTCATTCTACTTATATTTTAATATGAGTATACATATGTAGAAACTGATTTCTGACACAATTTAATTTAGAGTGTGTGACGTGGTGTTTTCAACTCGCCTTTATTAAATTGAAGAAAGAGGACCTCGTCGAGAATTTTTTTGAAAAGCGGACATCTATTACATTTTTGGTTCGAGCCTGAATAGGTACCAGATACTGCCAAGGGATAGGATTGGAGCTTTTTCTTCAACAGCCCGTGGATATTTCTTGGACATGATTTTCTGAAGGCCACTGGATATTTTTGTGGTAGTGGAACTAGGAGAAAGATATCCCAATAGAACTATTATAACCTGAACTGTAAAGCTTAGAAGTTCAAAAACCTTTCTCAATACCTTGACTCCAGTTGCCTGAAAATAAGTGGCCGTCGTCAGACAATATGTTGCAAAGATCAGTCCACCATTCGCCTTTCTACCAGCCACAAAATTCCAAACATACTCGTGATACTGAAGTCTTGGAGTGTTAACAATTGCGTTTCCTCTAAATTATTTTATCCTTGGGTTTGTTTTAATGCTTGTTAGAATATGTATGAGTGGGTCAACTTAACAGGGCCAAGACGGACTGATCTAGGTAACAACACAGACCATTCCGCACACATACCTCAAGAGGCATCTTCCTCAAACATTCGTACACTCAATACGTGTGTGTGTGCTATCTCCACTCTGGTAAGAATGATAATTTGAATGTTTGTGAGTATGCATTTGAATGAGACTGGGAATGAGGTTAAGTGTTGAATGAGTGCAAGAGAATGAGGTAGTGATTGTGCACAGGTGGACGAAGGACACAAAGGGTGTGTTTGCGGGGTAGGATTACTGCGTATTACACTCTGGAGAAGGCGTATATAGCGAGAGTATACTCTCGCTCAATCGCGGGTCGCACTCCAGCTGATCGAGAGCTCAGGAGTATACTCGTGTTAACACACACAGCTCGCTCGAACGCACCCAAGGAGTTTGAACTGCCCACGCTGTTCCATCTGGCTAATTACTACTTTCTGGCATGCTAAGTGTGTCCAGAGTGTAACGCACGAGCTGTTTCACAACCACGAGACCCCTTTGTATCCTATGATCGCCGCCGCAATGTTTCGCTGGTAATCTGCATCCTTAAAACTTTATGTGCTGAAATAGAGTAAATCGATTATTCTTTTGTGCTTGATATGATCTCACAAAAATGTAAAATTCAATGCTTCCGCAGTTGCTTGTGTTAAGTCGTGTGCCCTAAATGTTCATGTGCAGTTACTGCCCTTCTCGAACACTTTCTTCTGGGAAAAATAGGCAAGTTGTGGGTAAGAATTGGTGATTATAATAATTATATAACACTGTGTTTCATGACATCCCATGATCTTAGCCAAATTCGTACCGAGTCTTCGAAGACTGATGTCTTAGAGGGAAAAAAAAACAAACAAACATTGCACTGATAATGGAAGAGTATAACAAAATAACGAAGTTTACTCACAATGACAAAGCTAATATTACAGGCTCCACTTGTCCAGCTAGACTGGAGGCAGCAAGGGGGCATTTTTTGCATTTTTCTGTCATTCATCTGACTGGGCGGCAACGATAATCCAGCACTTTGAAGTGCCAGAGCTGAATTTACTTCTTTTTCCTTTCTCCATGATGATTTCTGTCTCCCTGAACGTACCATCACCTTGCTGTTCAGCAGCGATACGTGTTTCTACTTTGGGGAATTCTGGCCCCAAGATATCTCTCCTCAAGCAATCTGGTTTTGCGAATTTGCAGCGGTACAGATCCCAAATTTTCATAATCATTAATTTTCAAATAAGTTTTGTTTTTTACTGGCATGATAGTGACAAGCCAAGCACACCGACCACCAAACGTGGGTTGAAGAATTTGACTGTTTCAATTGTTAATTAAACAAAGAAATTATTTTTTCGTAATATTTATCCTGAGATTCACAAAGATGAGCAAGACTTTTTTTCGAACTGTGTGACATATTCTAATTGGTTGTGGATTTGATTTTGTAAATAGAACGATAGAGTTCTTAGTATCTATATTGAAAACATAAGATCCCAAGGAATGTGTTATTATTGGGACGTTCATACCTGGGGTGGTGATACCCTACGGTGGTGGGGTACGCTTTTTTAGGTTAGGAATTGATCTCTCCTGTGATAAAGATACTTCAAACAAAGATCAAAAATTGGCACAAGGAATTTTTCTGACTGTATACAAGAGTTGATTTATTTCTATTTGAAATCAAGTTGAGAAATTTAGGACTGCCCCAATATGTAGATTGAGAAAACTTACACAATTGTGGACACTAATAAATGAAGTTTGAAAATGATAAAATAATTGATATGGATTGATTGACCAGTAATGGACAAAGAAACTTATGCTGTGATAATTGCAACAGTAAAAAGTGAAGTCATAAGATATGACAGATCCAATAGGCAAAGGGATAAGACTACAAGATAAAAAGACAAAAGGGCGCTGTGCAACCTGCTCTCTCTACAGAGTTCAGCTGTGTAAAAACCACACATTGAACCAGTTCAAGGACATGTAATAGTTGTTGAGTGCAACATGAAAAAGTCGTTACGTTTCGTGCATGAGTACGAGTCACATGGCCAAACTTTTCACACAACTTTCATGACAACGCAACAAACAAAATCAGTCCAAATGATAAAGTTTTGACCTCACTCGGAGCCCACACTTGGCCCACACGTACTACGAGACAAATCTGTCATTGTGAACAGGCCAGAACCGTGCTTAGCGATAAACGAATGATAAAAGTTGCAAAAGTTTATGACAAGAGTGAACTTACGTCCTGACAGAACAAACTCCTGCTAGGGAGAGGCAGATCGTCACGTACGCCACGGCGAAGTACGTCGCGTAAGCGTACAAAAATACGCTCATGTCTGGTACGATTTTATGGACTAAAACCTGTTTTGGCAGACTAATATTGATGAGGATACGATTAATTTATGATTATGGCAATGAACAACCACTTGGGCGACTCTACAAAGAAAATACAACAATTTAAATACAATATCGGGACTATGTTGAATGCGTGAGGACACTCGGGCTTGGGAGAAAGTGCGTGGTGTGGAAACCTGATAGAACCCTAGACTTGACAAAGTCTGACCACCACATTATTTTGTTACATTTTGAAGATTAGTACACTCAGTCAAATAGAAACAACGGAGAAAGTTTGTGGAAGCTGAGCAGATTCACTCGTTTACTTGGATAAACATTGATTATAATTATAATGTCACGACCGGTTGCGAATGACCATGGGCAGTGGTCATGGGCGCCACTAGCCTGGTAGGAAGGTCCGCCAAATGGTCAGCCGTGGATGCTGAAGCCGGTCTTCAACAGATAGTTCAGTCAACTTCGAGACAGAAGCCAAAAGTGCCACTTCACATAATTAATTGGCAATATTTAATGCCTCAGAAATGGAATTGACAAGATCAGAAATTTTAGATAAGAATCAGTTATCTACAAAAAGAGATGTATCTATTTCGTTTCCTGTTTTGGATGGACTGTGAACTCTAGGGTCATTGGGATGAATTTATGCACCAAAATGCACAAAGCCAGGGGACCCTCACGGGTAATGCTATGAAGTGCAATTACATGCAGAATTTTATGCAGGAATGGGCGGACTGAGCTTTGTTTGATCTCAGTTTATGATGTCAGAATGCGAATCATTAAACATCAAGGGAGCTCTAGGACCCTCTAAGCGACCAATTTTTAGAACCGCAATCACACGACCCCAATCTTCAGAAGCGGAAACGAAATAGAGATATCTCTTTTGCATAACTATATTAGTAATAAAGATAGCTATATTAGAAATAGAGATATTGCTGTTAACGGTAGAGATATGTCTATTTCACTATTAATAACAAAGATATACCTATTTCTATTTCTTTGCACGTCTCGAAATAAAGATATCTCTAGTTTGGGATTAAATATCAACTTTTCACGCCATAAATTCTAGCAGAAAGTAGGTCCTGTATGCAGCAGATATAAACATAGTTGCCATCACAGGTGTGTTTTAAACAATCAGTTATTGTTATCAGTCATTGTGCGAAAGAAGTAAAGTAAGCATGTACAGGTAGTACAATTACGATTTTCAATTAACAGCCCTTGATCCTCTTGAAA